AAAAAAAAAAAAAAAAAAAAAAAAACCTCGAAAGCTTCATGTAAACTGTGACCGCAAATCCCCCATGGTAGTCGGTTTCTCTCACCCTGCAACTCTTTTCCCCTGATCCTTTTCCTCCCATTCCATTTCTCCGTCTATCCTCTATCTCCGTCTGTTCATTTTTCGTCTTCCTGTTGTTCTTTCTTGTTAACGGGGTTTTGATTTTCACTGGGTTTCAACTTTGAGCGCAATTTTTGTAGAACAAAGCAGCTTTTCATGGATTTAAGGGATATGAGGTACGTGGGTCTCGTTAGATTTCTGTATACTCTGATGGGTATCTACCAATTTTGTTGCTGTTTTTTGTTTATTCAACTTCTTGTTGTTCATCATCCTTCATTTCTCTCTATGATTCGGGAAAGTGATTCTGTGAAATTTGAACTACTGATGTGTTTTTATGGGTTTGAGTTAATTTGTGATTGCTTCTCTTTGGGAGACATTTGGATGGTGATAATTTGAGTTGGAAACTTGTTTCGATTCATGTGAACCTTGAAACAGTACACAGCAGAAAATGGATTAATATTACCTTAGGACACCTCATTGTTCCACTACGTTTGTGTAGCTCTTTCCAAAAGCTGCAACTGACATTGAAAATCCAGGAAACGAAACTTGTTGCTTCTTCTCTAAGAATTAGATCCACACACATGGAGAGTGGCTAACTTTTGAAAGATGGGACTGTTAAGATTGTCTATTTACATCTTTTCCGAGTTAATTGTTATTTTTTGCTGCTTTAGAGGAACTGTGATCTTTTTTTGGTGTTTTCTTGTTTGTCTTTATGTAATGTGCTGTAATCAATGTATGTGCATATTACTTGTTTATACGTTTGGATTTTGTGAGCCTAGAATAATTGTCATGTAATATATAGACCTGTATATTTTGTTTTAGCAAGGGATATTGCAGTTGGACTTCATCTATGGATACTCAAATTTATCCTATATCAGTGTATCTCATAAGTCAGAACAATAATCTTTTACCCTTGAAACCCATCATACCCTTTATCTCGAGCTCGAAATTGCTTTTATAAGCTTGGTAAAGGGGTGGGTATCCGCTGCTTAGTTATCCACCTTGTTGCAAAAGCCATCATAACCTTTATCACGAGCTCAATATTGCTTTTATATTCTGGCTAAAGATAGTACTTGTACAAGAATCGTTTGCTTAATTGCCACCTTGCTGTCCCTTGCTGCAAAAGGGAACTTTGGAATGATACAAAACATTGATTTTCGTGACTTGGATTGGCATATTTCTTCGTAACATGCATACAAATGCTGGACTGTCTCTACAAGTACAAACTATTGGAATGGCTTCTTATCGGTCTAGTTTGAAACAAATTGGAATGATCTTTTCATGAGTTAAAATAATGTTTGCGTAACTTTCTCCTTTCTGTTCTGTCATATTTCTTGCCTGTTGTGTAGTCTTCCATTTACGTGCTAGCGATTGCATCAACCCTTAATGTTGCATGATGTGCTTCCTCGTGCGATAAACTGAAGGTAGGAGTTTTTTTTTTCTTCTCAAGAAAAAGAAAAAAAAAGGTGCAACAAAACACAACTAATGCGAGCCCAATTGCAGAGCGGATAATTGAGGTATTGCACTGAAGATGAATGAGGACTATAAAAGCATTGAACCGGGGACGGATTTAGGACTTGGGTTGGGTCACACAGACCAATGCATTCAGGGAAGATTGACCAACAAATTAGGTGTAGGTGCAAATGCAGGTTCAATGGTGGATGTGGAATATGTTACCACCGACTCCCTGTCTGAACTAGTTTGGTCTCCACACAAAGGTTTGAGCCTTAGATGCGCCAATTCCAGCTTCAATAATAGAAAAACTCCGATCTTGTGGGATGCAGCAGCCAATAACGCAAGTTTTGTACTGCCACGAAGTGTAATAGCAGGGAAATCTACTTCCAATAATTTACTTGATAATAGAACTATTACTATTTCACAAGCAGAGAGTCAATTGAAGAATATATCCGAGGGTAAACAAACTTCAAACAATACCAGTTCTGATGATGCTGCCTGCATGACAAGCGAAGCACATATGCATAAACTACAGAAAGGTATATTTTAGCTGATGGTTGTTTAAATGTACACTATGTGAAAGTTTTACGAATCCAAGTTGATCATACTGCATCTTTCATCATATTTTGTTTAATATGCTTGATTTTCATTCTGCCCAATTATATTCTTGTTCCTCGAGTCTTTTCCCAGTTCTGATGCACTTACCTTCCAGGGGTGGGAAACCTTGCAAACGAAACAGTTTGCAGGGCAGCAGTATCTGTTGTATGTTCTAAACAGGAAGATCTACAAGCAACTGGAGCAGATATAACTGATGCAGGAAACATTCCGGTGAACGAAGTATTGACAGTTGGGAAAAATGACTGCTCATACTTGCCAGGTATGCTGAGACCAATGCAGTTTATTCTATTGAACGGAAACATATTTGCTTGAATATTTCATTTTCATGCTCTAATTCGTCTCTCCATGTAAAATATATTTTCATTGGAAAACCTTCTGGTTGCGTTTATCAAATGGTTGGTTCTTCTATTTCATCTTCATGTTTGAAATTTTATTGACTTAATCTCTCTTGCAGTTTGTGTGAACAGAATAAATGAAGTATCAATGAAGCAAGGTGAACCTGAGCTTGATAAAGTGCAGCATGACTTGTTAGATATGGATCCAAATGGTGGAGACATAAATGAAGGTCATAATAGTACCGCAGGAAAGGGTGTTCTTCAACCCTTGAATGTGTTTGATCCTACTGTCTCTCATCCAACTTATTTGGGGAAACTGGAATCATCTGCAGAAAATGGCTTACTAAATATAAATGATAAAATCGGTGGGTTTGAGGGAAGTAAAATTTTAGTGACAGTGGTGGATTCTTCCCATGAAGTGAGAGGCAGTAACCAGCCAGATGGTAAAGACAATTGCAAAGACACGGGTGATTCAGCTTCTCCAAGTAACGGTGGTATGCATTGGATACAAAGGAAAGGAAAGGAAAAGGCTCTGTCGGATGGTAATGTTCATGGAAGAATGTTGAACAATGAAGACAACAGCTACGGAAGTGTTGAAAGCTGTAACAGTGCTTTTCTTGCAACTTCGAAGAGGCGATGGGGCTTTGAACAACACTTAATTGTTGGGAACAAAAGAGCCAAAATGCAAGACGATAATGCTTCTGGTCCAACGTCGAACTTAGGTCAAGACAGCTCTTTCATGAACTGGATATCTAACATGGTGAAAGGATTCTCAGAGTCGATACAAGAGGAGGCACCTTCTCTTGACCTTACCCTTGCAAAACCTGATGTTGAACATAGAGGCCTAAATGAAGAACTGATGGACAAGAAGATTAATACTCCTGGGGTCGGTGGCATTGGTTTCCAATCTATCTTCCGGTCTTTGTATGATCCGATCACGAGAGGTGAGGACGGAGCGCCTAGTGCAACCAAACAAGAAGCTAAGGAGATTGAAATGATTAAAAACAGTTGTGATCTTAATGCAACTCCAATAGCATGTTTTGGGGAGTCTGATAAATTTGGCAAACAACTTCTGCTAAACAATGAGAATGAGACAGAGTTTTTATCTGGAAATGAACCAACCATACTAATTCAACTGAAGAATTCACCTGAAATTTCTTGTGGCAGTCATCAAAGTCATAAAACCAAGTCTGAGGAGAACTTGAATTCATGCAATCTTGTAAGTGGTGCTGGAACAGGTGAAGTTATCCACCACTCTGCTTTGGATAAATGCAAGTCCAACAGTACAGAGAATGTTGACTGTGATCTACCTTGTGGAAAGATTAACCATACTGCTGGTAATACGAGTGATCCTCTCAAAAGCTTGTGGATTTCCCGTTTAGCCGCAAAAACCTCTGGGGTTATGGCAAACCCAGAAACTTGCAACCTAAATATCAAGGATGATTCCCAATGTTCCATGCACAGTCCTGGACTGATTCCTTGCCCTCAAAATCAAATTGGTCATCATTCCATGGATGACTTGGACACTGCTGTTAGTAAGGAACAACGTAATACAGCTAGTTCTGAGGCTTCTCCTGGTCATAAGGAATTCAAAAGCCATAATGAGCAGAAATCCATTAGTAAGTTCAAATCTGTTTTACGTTCTCCTAAAGTAAGAAGTCCAGAGGCGATGGCTTCTGTCTTTGCTAAGAGATTAGGTGCATTCAAACACATCATACCGTCAGATTTGACCGTAAATGTGGGAAATGAAACTGTGACCTGTTTCTTTTGTGGCACAAGAGGTCATAGTCTACATAATTGTTCTGAAATTACAGAAAGAGAAATTGAGGATCTTTCAAGAAATATCAGGCTGTGTAATGAAACAGTAGATCCCCCTTGTTCGTGCATACGGTGCTTTCAGCTCAATCACTGGGCTATTGCGTGCCCACTTGCTGCCTCGAGAGGTCAACAGCCAACTGAGTCCCATGCGTCTTTGGCTGATTGTTACGATACTGGTGAGCTCCAACTTGCTTCTGGGATTGGTTTAAGTGCAAAACCCCTACACGTTGAGGATAGAAAAAAGAACAGTGTTGCATCTATGCTAGATGATACTGATGATCCCAATATCAAAACTGATCGTAGACCTGATTGTAAAGCCACTGAAGAAGTGAAGTCTGCAGCAATGTCGATTCCAAAATGTGTTATGCAAAGATCTCCAGAGAAAAGTTCGAAAGGAAGTAAGATGGTCCATGTCGACAGCTTTGTTGTTGACAAGCCGAATTCCACTATACCACAAGTGGTCTTCAAAGCAGTAAAAAAACTTCGACTGTCTCGAAGCAATATTCTCAAGTAAGTAGAAACAATTATGGGTGTTCGAGCCTTAGTAACTAAGATCTTCGCATATCTGCATTTAAAGTCTTATTTTAACATCTTTACAAAGCGAACACAACATATTGGATCCAACTGTTTGGGACATTTAAGTATTAAATTGAGCTATTATGGGCCATAAAATTATCTGTGATTAAGCTTAATCATAGGTTTGATTATCTTAATGATTTTGTTCTCAAGATGCTGTAGCAAGGTTTCTGTTTACACGTACTTTTGATATTTTATGTTCTAATTGGTTTTGAGTTTTTTGACACTCCCCTGCTGGCTACTGTCGATATGTTTTATTCACCCGCATGGATATCACTTAACTGAAGAATGTTCTGAACTTGTTCTTCAATTCCCAAAATGTTCATACATGGAATCTCATTTTTATTATTAGAGTGCATTTTTCCTAGAACTGATCATTTCTCTATTGCATCGCCACCAGGTGTATGAACTCCCACATGTCACTGTCACTTCTTGATGGTTTTTTCTTGCGTATTCGGCTTGGGAAGTGGGAAGAAGGACTTGGGGGAACTGGGTACCATGTGGCTTGCATAAAGGGTAAAATGCCTATTAAGACTTGCTTGACTTGCTATCATGCAAGCTTCTTCTGTCATAGATTGACCTTTTTTTATCCCTTACATTCTAATACACCATTAATTCTCTTCTAATTTCTTCTGAAATTTTCATGTCCATGTATTTCCAGGTGCACAACTCACAAAAAATTCTATTTCTGTTATAGTTCGAGGGGTGGAATGCCAAGTTCAGACCCAATACATTTCCAACCATGATTTTCTTGAGGTATAAACCTATACCCTTTTTGTGACTGAGGATAAATGTAACGGTGGTGGGGTTGGGCTCTTACAAATGGTACCAGAGCTAGGCATCGAATGGTGCATTCTCGCTGGCCCCCAAGGGGGTGGATTGTGAGATCCCACAATTTCTGGACGTTATAGAAGGCTTCAATAGTTCTAGCCATTGAAGTCCAATGCTATAGTCTTTGCCCTGAAGCTTATTTCTTTCTTTGATTCGAACTCGTAAGGGGTGGATTGTGAGATCCTACATTGGTTGGAGAGGGGAACGAAATATTTCTTATAAGGGTGTGGAAACCTCTCCCTAGTAGACGCGTTTTAAAACCTTGAAGGGAAGCCAAAAGTAGACAATATCTGCTAGCGGTGGGCTTGGGCTATTACAATAAATGACAATTTTTGAACGTTATAGAAAGGCTTCAATAGTTCTAGCCGTTGAGGTCCAATGCTATAGTCTTTACCCAGAAGCTTATTTCTTCCTGTGATTCGAACTCATACGAGTTCGGTCAATCCTGGTTCTCGAAACTTATTTCTGGGTTTCAATTTATGTCCACCTTCCCATATTATACTGTTCGAATTAAAACAGCCAAGATGAGAAGTAGAAAAATGAGATGATTTCTTGAGGCTATTAAAACAAACCCAACTTGACTGTGTTGCAGGATGAGCTGAAGGCATGGTGGTGTACAGCTTCGAAGGATGGCAGCAGAGTTCTTCCTCTGGCAGCAGATTTAAGAGCCAAAGTGAAAAAGAAAAAGGAGTTGGGTCTGTAAACAAGCACAAAGGTTGAAACTGTACATAGAATTATTACCATACATCCCATACCTACAGCTTGAAATTCAATGAACAGTGTCCAATGGAACAAACAGATACCAAATTGTTTAACTTTGTTATCTATATGGGTGTGTCACTGATGCTGTCTGGTTGGATTTCATGAAAGGCAGTCTTCCAACTTTATGGTAACTCGTGATAATGGGACAAGTTTTTGCCACTTTTTCTTTTAAGGTCGACATGTATTGTCACACCTTTATATGCAAATTATTGAAGCATAGCCGCCTTAAGGGTTTGTTGTTAAGATGCTTAGTTTTTTGTCTACTGTTTTATATTTGGCTTTTTCTATCAGCATTTCTTACACATTTTAGCTGTATTGTGTTTTTCAAATAATAATTCTGCTAGATATTCTTATGCCATGTTGTTAACATGTTCACTTAATGTTCGCGAGATAGGAAGAAACTATGCAGGTCAAGTATGCAAGGTATGACAAGTATTATGTAGGCTCTTTATGTCTTGAATGAATGGAGATATAACTTCCATCATAAACTTATGCTATGAATTTAAGCTACGGGACTTTATGCATTTATATATGTCATGTGCATCTAGTAGCGCGAGAGTGCGCTAGCCCAACGAGCCAAGCTCAAGGGGTATACATACGAGTCTGCTTGGAGGGCTCATGTACGCATACATGGGTTGTGTGTAGGAAAGTACTACACATCCATCACTATCCAAACGGGAAGTGGAGTTCAAGACCATGGATGTTTTCTTTTTTATGAAACAATATGTCTCACCATATTGCATGTGACTGCATTCTCCAACTCTAACCGTGAAGCTACTTAGTAAGTATTTTATAAAATACTCAAGTAACGTGCTACTCTTATTTTTGAAGTAAAGGTAAGACACCCTTATTCAGATGACGTATGATAGTAGAAGTCGTAGGACCAAGATAGGATAGTTACATTAGATCTGGGTTGAAATTAAAAATAAAAATAAAAATAAAATCGAAATTTGGGATTTTGAATGCCAAATAATAATGAATTTGTGCATGTGTTCATAATTGATATAGGACGAAAATTGCATCGTTGACCCTTTTACTTTTAATGGGCCGTGTTGGTTTGGAAATGACCTAATCGACGGAAACAATTGTAAGGAACTTTCGTGTATTATATTATTTTTTTGGTTTTTATTGACTCCAATTCCTGTCTTTCTTTTCCCCCCTTTTTCCGAAACCATTTCACACAATTTCTTAAATTAGCGTTAGGTGTGTTTGAAAAGGTTTAAGAGTACGTTATTGAGTTACTAAATATATCATTAATATCTTAATAATATATTAGTATGCTAATTCTATTACGTGAATTAGAACAATGAAAAATTAGGGTATAAAGTCTGAATTATCGGTAGGGAAGAAGACCCATCGACCTCATTGGTGATGATAGCACAAAAGTAAACACATTTCTCAAATTGATATCAACCAATAGCAATAAAGACTTTAGAAAGTGGGGAGAAATGCAATCACACGTTAATATTAATGAATATTTTTAGAAAATTATTAAAAAAAATTAAAATTAAATTTATACTTCTTACGAAATTAAAATGCTTAATATTTATATTATATTCATATATATTTCGCTGATTTATTATTTAAGTTGATATCAAATTTACATACACGTCAAAAATAGTTTGGATTTAAAGTGAAAATGATTATTTAAATATCTTCTCAACGTTTTTTTCTTTAAAATGTATTGAATCATTTATAAAAAGTTCGAAATAAAGTCTATTATTGAAAAAGCATTCCATCACTCGCAAAAAGAAAATAAATAAATAAACGTGACTCTTACATTTATGGAAAAAAAAAGAAAAAAAAAAAAGTAAAAGTTGCATTGGAAAAAAGAAGGGGATATTATTGGAAGTGCGTTAGACCTAGACAAGCACTACCTTCCACTTTTTTCCTTTGGGTTTATCCATTCATTTATAATGTGATTATTTTATATATGTGTTTAATACATTTTAATTTTTTTAATTTCATGCTTTACAAATTTCAATAATTAATTCAATTTCTTTTCTAATGTATTTAATAAATCAATAAATTTCTAAGAGAATAAATTTATAAAGATCACTTTATAGATATAATAATAATTAATTTTTAAGTTTGATATAAACGTTACTTTAGAGTTTCTATTACAATTTTTTAAAACATTTTTCATGGTGGAAATGAAAAGGAAGATTAAATTTGATTGGCGAAGACAACCATAATGACTTCGTTGCATTACTTTTGCCAATAATTCAATGCTATACTTAAAGAAGAGTGATTATGAGTTTAGAAACTTGACAAAATTACAAATCATTATTCGGAAGAAAATATAACTTCCTACCAAATTAGGTTAAATTAACATTCACGAGTTTAATAAAAAAAAATTAATTAAAATATGACATAAAGTTAACTATCAAATTTTTTAAAATAATTAATATAAATAAATTTAGATTAAAATATATATATATTTTTGTAGATGGTAATGATATTTATTAAATGTAATTAATTAATAAAGTTTAAAAATATAAAAATGGGTTCAAATTTTCCCGACTAATGGTAAAATAAAAAATTAATTAAGATGATTATTAAAAATGGAGACGACGACAAATTCTAATTAATTCGATTTTAATATTCCTCAATTCGCATTGGAAGTTTCAAATAGAAAGACTGGTATTTTGTGGGTTTATTTTATATTTATTTTTTATTTGACAGAGTCTATTTCTAGAAATGTTTTTTTTTTAAGAATTTGAGCAAATATATTAAAAATCTAACATTTTAAAAAATATATATATATTAATTACAATCAGAAACGTTGATAAAACGTTTCCGATTTTGTGATTAAAAATTGCTGTAAGAAAGGTGTATTAAATAATTTTATGAGATATCCAAATCCAATATACTTAACATAATGATTAAGATAATTCAATAATTAAAGCAGGAGAATGAGCATACAAATAAAGAGACAGGAAATAAAATCCAACTTTTTATACGAAAAAAATAATTAATTTTTGCACGTATACGCGACGAAAATTTAGATTTAAAAAAAAAAAAAATGGTGAGCTGGAAAATTACCAGAACTTCATTGACTTTTTTTTATAATAAGCCACGTTTTGTTGGAGAATGGTTCCTTTTTCCGGCAAAAAATATATATATGGCGCGCAGTACCAGTAATTACAAGGAAGTTTCAAGTATTCCGGTCTTTATTGACTTTGAACCCAAATTCCACCGGTCAAACCGTTTTTTTTTTTATTTTTTTCTTGTTTTCTAACCTTTCCACTCTTCTAATCACACTTTATTCAAAAATCCATATTTAATTAATGTGTGAACTGTAACTTCCTCTTAAAACTCGGCTAATTTTAATCTCACACCCTCTTTCACACTATATCTGTAATGTTCGAACAATTTTATCCAACGGTCCTTGAAATGAAGTAGCCGCACTCTGCCTTATTTCGAGTCGGGTCAATGCCTCAATTTATAAGAATGAAGTAAAAATAAACAAAATTTCACTTAAACTCAAATAATAATAATCATATACTTATTAATTCAGTAGTTCAAATGTTTGGCGAATTCAAAATTTTATCCAACGGTTATGTCTCCTACCTTTAATTATCGTTGTCGGTATTGATTCACGTAGGTTTTTTTTCTATCAACTTTATCACTACTTATGAATGGAGAATAAATAGTAATATATTTATCTGACTTACTTACTTGTGAAATTAAGCCTATTGTATTTATTATTTAAAAATTTTGAAATTTAAATTTCTCCTAAATCCTATAAAATTAGGAAGGAAAAATACTAGAAAAGGGAACTAAATCATCACTCACTTTACAGAGTTGAGATTGGAGGGTAACTATTGTCCTTTGTCTCCAACGGTTTAATTTTACAGGAAAAAAGTTACAGCTGACTTTGTCTTAATAAAATTGTGCCATCTTTTTCCTATTTAATATATTTAAAAATAAAACGTTTATTCCTTTAAATTTTAATTTATTGGTTAAATTTAAATGGTCAACTTCAAAACTCTTCCTTATATTATTAAATTATAAATTAGAATTCTATCTACTAACCATCTATTATCAATTATTTGATGATTAAAAAAAGCGGAACACATGACAAACATATCTTTAACGGGTGAGTTTCAAATTTATAATTAAGTGTATTTTTTTAAGTTAAAATAAAGATATTAGGACGAGCATAAAATTTTGAGAATTTATTATAGGCATAATCTTTCGACATCTTTGCACAAAGTTTTAAGTTATTTTTCTAAATTTAATTTATAATTTTTCACAAAATTTGAATGTTTATATGGGCTGGTGAATTTATTATTATTATTTTTTTACTAATTTAAAACATTTGGAGGTACTGAATTTCAACCGAATATTTTATAGGATTAAGTTCTCTGTTGAATTCTCAGACTCTTCCAAATCGTATACAGAATGAGAGAGTCTGACCCACGTACTTCTCAAATCAGTGGAGCTTATATAATTGTGAACCTCCAAATTCAAACACCATCAAAGCCGAGAGGACAAACAATCAAAGATCCTCCTCACCTTCTCCCTCCGATCTCTTCGCTTTTTGAGAATTTTCATCATGAAGCACGAAGGTAATCAAAGCTATTTTCCCAGCATTTATTGATTTTGATCTTTGAAATTCACTGAACGTTGAAGATTGAGTTCTTTTGCTGATTGCTCTGTGGTTAGATGGCGGGTTCGGGAAGGTCATTACATCGTCGCACTATCTTAATACTTCGTTCGTCGGAGGCGTCCCTGCCGCTGGGAGTCGCCATTTCCGGCGGACTTCGAAGGCTGTGATCAACAATCAAAAGTTGATTCCGCATCTACATAGGACGGAGTCCGGCCGCGTTGATTTCTTGGAGAGATTTTCGCATTATGTTGGTAAAATTTTCTGCCATTACCATCTACTGAATTAGTTCTGTGTAGAACGAAAAATCTAACCCTATTATTTTTGCAGCGAGGCAATTAGGGATTTCAGATGCAGATGAGTGTCCTCAACTCTGCAAGTTAGCAAACAACTATTTGAGGAAAACGAAAGGGTGCGAAGAAGAAATTTATGCATATTTCGCGAGTGAAGCCGACGGAGAATCTCTGTATGTTAAATTAATGGATGAGTTTGATCAATGCATCTTGAGCTATTTCGCATTCCATTGGAGCCAAGCTTCCTTGATGATTACTCAGGTAATATTCAAAAATCCACCCCCACCCCCCACCCCCCATCCAGAAAAAGTCAACACGATTTTAGAATTTCAGTATAT